GGACTAGAACCCAGTGCCCATATGGAATACCGGCATGGCAGGCAGAGGATTACCCTATTGAGTCATGGCTCCGGCCAATCTCACTTTTCTAAGTCATATGGTTGGTTTAAACAAGTCCCTACCTCAATTAGTTCTGATAACCACTCACAGGGTGTGAAGGGCAGGTCCTTGAAGTCACATTTTAAATAGGAAAATCTCAAAGACTTCCTGTTGCCCAGGGTTTGCTAGTCCTCTTCCCCTACCCCATCCATACTGGGAAAAAGAAAAGAAAATGAAGGACTAGACTGTATTAGTTGAGTCTGTCTGCATATACAGAGGCCTTAAAAGGGACAGGGAAAAAAAAAAAAAACAAAACATGAAAAAGCAAACCAAAAGGAAACCTGGAAACTCAACGGCTCCAAGCTGTTTCCACTCTCCAGATGGCTCTGTGAGGGAGCAGCCCAGGATCCCCACACATACCATCACCTCAGCCCAGCCAGCCTGAGAACACTTGCTCAGGCAGTAAGGAATAAATATTTACAGTTAGTCAACATTCCCTGTTTCTGGGCACTGAGAACTTGGAGAACAACCTTCCTGCTCTACCGTCTACTTTTAGCAACCCTGGACTTGGGAGACCCTCCCCACCTGACACTAAATGACCTGGTATTATGTGAGCTGAAGCCGGTTAGGAACATTCTTCCATCTCTCTAGCCTCTACAGCCTGGAAATAATCACAACTATTAGAAAACATTCCCCAAGTGCTCCCTGGGGATTACATCCCCTCTAATTCTCAAAGCCAATGCAGGACAAGAACTCAAGTTTTTCTACTTTCTCATGAAGAAACAGAGGCCAAGGGGCCCAGATAATTTACGTGGAGTCCCCAAGGTGAACATACAGGGTGGCACACATCTCCACCCTGACGATCCAATTAGACCCCTGATGGCTATGCAGTTGAATGCCTAATACATTCCTCCTCCAAGCTCTTGGAGTCACTCCCTTAGGTTACATAAGTATGTATACATTTCTTCATTCGACTGTAAGCTTCCTTGACAGCACTAACTTTGTCTTACTCATCTTCACATTGACAAAGTGCCTGGTACAATGCTGCACACATAATTTGTTATGTAATCAAGACTTAAAAATAAAATCACATCAACTCCCTTGCTGTTTAGCAGGGAAAACTTAGACCCAGGCAATGGACTAAAAGAAAGTAACCAGCAAGCTAAAGATCTAGTTCCAGCTTTCCTTCCAGAACGAAGGTGAAACAGTGCTATTTGTTTATTTTCTTGGGGATTTTCTACACAAGGAAAACATAGAGTTTATTGCTGGAAACCAACACCAAGAAATGTTCTTAGGTCAAAGAGAAATGATTCCAGGGAGAGAGTTGAGATGCAGGAAGTATGAAGAACAACACAAAAGTTCAATATGCAGAGAACGCCTGTGTAAGACTGTGTTAACTATGCCTTTGTGGGTATTAAATGTGTAGCATTAAAATTCATGACACCAAAGCAAAATTCAGGAGAATGTAAATAGGAATAAAGTCTTCAAAGGCTGCTTTACTATCTGAAAAATGGTAAAATGTACACATTTATACCATGCATCTTGCAACCTAAGTATACATGTTGTAATCCCTAGGGTATCCATTAAAAGTAAAGCACACAATGTAAAACTAACAAGCTAACTAAAAAGGAAAATCAAATAATAAAAAAGTTTGTTTATGGAGTGGGTGTTTGGTCTCATGGTAATGACACTGTTTAAGACACCATGTCAGGGCTGTTGCTGTGGCATTAGCAGGTAAATCCACCTCCTGTGGTGCTGGCATCCCATATAGGAACCTGTTCGAATCCTGGCTGCACCACTTCCAATTCAGCTGCCTGTTAATGGCCAGGGAAAAGCAATGGAAGATGGTCCAAGTGTTTGAGCCTCTGACACCCATGTGGGAGACCCAAATGAAGCTCTTAGTTCTTGGCTATTGCCTGACCCCACCCTGGCTGTTGTAGGCATCTGAGGAGTGAAAGGCAGAGACACAGAGAGGCAGAGGCAAAGGCAGAGAGAGAGAGAGAGAGAGAGAGAGGTCTTCCTTCCATTGGTTCACTCCCCAAATGGCTGCATTGACTGGAGCTGGGCTGATCTGAAGCTGGGAACTTGGCACTTCCTCCTGGTCTCCCACGTGGGTGGGTGCAGGGGCCCAAGGACATGGGCCATCCTCCACTGTTTTCCCAGGTCATAGGAGAGAGCTAGATCAGAAGTGGAGCAGCTGGGACTTGAATCAGCGCCCACAGGGGATGCTGGCACTGCACATGGCAGCTTTACCCACTACGCCACAGTGATAGCTCAAATAAATACATCTTTTAAAAAACAAATAAATAAAAGACCTCCATGTCCCATATCAGAGTACCTGGGTTCAATACCTAGTTTCAGCTCCTGACTCCAGCTTTCTGGTAATGCAGACCTTGGGAAGCAGTCAAGATGACTCAAGGAATTGGCTTCCTGCCACCCAAGTGGGAGATCTGGATTGACTTCCTGACTTCCAGCTTCAGCCTGGCCCAGTCCCAGTGGTTGTGGGCATTTGGGGGAGTGAACGAGCAGATGGGAACAATGTTTCTCTCTCTTTCTCTCTGTCTTCCTTTCTCTCTGCCCCCCATCCCTCCTCTCCAATTAAGTCTTTAAAATAAGTAAAATTAAAAAAAAAAACCAAACATTTGTTTAAGCCAAAAGAAGCCTCAATCTGAAAGAGAGGGGAAGGAAAAAGAGAAAGGACAGGACAAAAGGAAAGAAATAATGAGAAGGTAGATTTAAACCAAAATATATGACTAATCACATTAAAAATGTAATTACAGAGAAATTCCATAATTAAATGGCAAAAAGTATCTGACTAGATGTAAGAAAAAAACGTTAAGTTAATGTTCTTTGCAAGAAACATTCTTTAAGAAAAGACACAGAGGGGAAGAAGGATGGGAAATGAGGTAGCATGGAATTTGGAATGCTGTTAGGTGCTTTTTTGTTTGGCCTTTTAATAGCTTTGGAAAATCCCAGTAACTTCCAACTATTATCCTGCTGCATTGCTGCTGCTTCCAAACGTTCATGCCCAGAAAGGGAAGACAACAGAGGACCCGGGAAGCTGGGTTTGGTTTTGCTGTTGACCTTGAAGGAAGGGGGCACTGAGAAACACACCTCATACCTCAGATAGAGAGTCAGATTCTGTATGTATTTAATTTAAAAACAGTGAATAGGCCACTGCGGGAAACAATGGATCAGCTGTTCTGGACAGAGGCAACTAACAGCCGCACCAGGGCTAATGCTTCAAGTGGAACATGACACAGGGGCTCTCAGGCTCCTGAAGAGGAAAAAAATGCTAACCATTCTAAAAAAAAAATCATCATTTTTACATGAAGGGTTCATTATTTCCTAGAGGCAAAGTCCTGAATTCTCAGTGGCACCACGATATACAGAGTGTATCCCTCCTCAGGTAGGAAGAATGTGTCTAATGATGCCTCTGCCTTCTGATTCTCTTCTTTGACTTGACAAATCTCAGAGATAAACCAGGGACAGTTACATACTGTACAATTACTAAGAAACAGCAGCCAGAAGTCCATGCACATTAGCTATAAAAATTAAGAGTCAGAACTGGGTCCAGAATAATGCTAGACCTTGACATTCATTCTTAGTATTGTCTGCTCAGCCCCCATCCTCACACGTAGTCTACAGCAGAACCAAATAGGAAGCTATAGGATCACTGTTTCTCAAATGATAAACAACCATAAACTGACAATATTTTTCATAAGAGGAGATATGGGAAGCAAAGAAAGGTGTTTGGCACCTGGGATAGAAGTGACTTTTTGCTTCCTTAGTCACTGACTAAGTCACTGATTTTGGTTATAAATTATTCTCCCTGATACATAATCTCCTCCTTATTTTCTCATGGGTGCACCATGGATTTGGTTATCCTAACATTGCATTTATCACGTTATCTTATAAACATCATCCCAGAGATCTGCTGGCTTATTCTAAAGTATCTAAACCCTTCTTTTGGATTAACCAAGTATTTTTAAAAATGTTCTTATTTCAAAAACTTATTTTTTAGGGAAGAGACAGAGAGCGCCCATCTGCTGGTTCTCTCCCCGAATGCCCACACTGCTTGTCCAGTTCTTGCCTGAAAGCCAGCAGTCCAAGAGAGCACAATAATGGTTTACCTCTGGGCTCCGTTGTTCACACTGCAGCCATTGCATTTAAATGGAGGATAACAGAGAGAGACAGAGCTCTTCCACTGCTTCACTCCCAAATCCCCACTGCCATGCCTGAGCTGGGAACTTAATCCAGGTCTCCCATGTGGGTGGCAGGGACTCGATGTATTCGGAGCATCACATACGCTTCCCAGGGTGTGCATTAGCAGGAAGCTACAAGCAGAAGTGGAGCCTGGACTCAAACCCAGGTACTCTGGTGGGGGACATAGGAGTCCCCGGCTGCTTCTTTTTTTTTTTTTTTTTTAATTTTTAATTTATTTGAAAGAGTTATAGAGAGAGGTAGAGACAGAGAGAAAGGTCTTCCATCTGCTGGTTCACTCCCAAGATGGCCGCAACAGCCAGAGCTATGTGGATCCCGAAGCCAGGAGCCAGGAGCTTCTTCCAGGTCTCCCACGTGGGTGCAAGGGCCTAAGGACTTGGGTCATCCTCTACTGCTTTCCCAGATCATAGCAGAGAGCTAGATCGGAAGTGTAGCAGCTGGGACTAGAACCAGCACCCATGTGGGATGCCGGCACTTCAGGCCAGGGCTTTAACCCGCTGCGCCACAGTGCTGACCCCTCCCAGCTGCTTTTTAACCACTGTGCCAAACACCCATCTTCATCAGAGTTTTGAAAACATTCCCTAGATTATTCTAATGGACAACTACTGAAAGTGGCTAACCTGGAAGGTAAGGGTGTGGTGTGTGTGTGTGTGTGTTCTTGTTAAATTATACCCAATAAAATCTGAAGCACAGGAACAAAGTTCCTGGAAAAAACACATATAGCCAGGGTATATTACCTGGGTGGTATCTTCCATCAGGCCACGAATCTTCTCCACAACATCGTTGCGCCGGTGCTGGCGCAGGGCACTGATCAACTGGGCAAGGCTGGCCTCAGGGCCCCGGATGGTCCAGTGCTGCAGAGCGGCGTAGGCCCGCTCGTGGTCTGCTGTGTACCCGTTGGAGAAGGCAGCCACTTCCCTCTCGCTGGCATTGCATAGAAACTGATAGATGTCTTTCCACTGGCTCCCCACTTGGGCTGCTACAAGTTTCAGGATGTCAATACCTACAACAGAGACAAAACAAACAAAGGCATATGAAGGAAGGTCTTTATGTAAGGCTACTCTGCTTCATTGAACTGGAGGAAGCAAGTTTTCTCATTGCTCCATGCCAAAGGAATGTACCGCCTTCTGTAAACATTTGGTGCACATAGCCCAAGAGTCCTGGAGACTCTTTAGGTGCCTTCCTACAGTATCACTTCCTCTTGTATGCAGAACCAGAAGAAGGAATGACAGAGGAAATATAATAAATCATCCCCAAAGGATGTCTTGAAAGCTAAGCTCAGTCAAACAAGGTAATCAGAGTGAAGTCATTGTTAGAAGTAAATATAACTTTTACCCAATAAGTTAGAGGCTCTCTGATTAAGAAAGCAGTGACTATGGAATTTAGAAAAACATTAGTGACAAATTAAAGCTACAATGGACTTTACCCAGAACTTTCTCAGTAAAGGATTGCAGATTCTAGAAATAGATTCCTTTATGTCAACTGATGATGTGCTGATAGAAGCATTCCTTAAGAATGTCTAGCTTCTTTTGTTCTAATTCCATTCTCAACAAGCAATTTTATGAACTATTTATTATACAGTCTTCTAAGTTTATTTGCATGGTTATAAAGAAGACTACAGCCAAATGACAGTATAATAATAGTAGCTAATATCTTCCAGGTATTAGGTGAAGGCTTTAGCTCATTGAATAGCTTTATAGGACATTAACATTCTGACTGCACAGGTAGGAGGAAAAACACTTATAAAAGTTAAGCAACTGTCTCTATATTGCAAAAGTAGATGGGTTGGGCATTGACCTCAAGTCACATGGTTGTTAACCAAAATCCATGTGTAACCACATTTAAATGTGTCAGTACATGCTGCTTTCCAAGAGGGAGGAAATGCCTTCAGCAAATAGCCAAGGCTGGTTCTCCTGTATTTCTGTCCCTCATAATTTAATATACGGAAGGCCCTTCCATTCATGTGGGATATATCCTGAGACCCCAGTGGATGAATGAAACTTCAGAGAGTATTGAACTCTATAATTTAGTGACTTTTCGTTCTTAACTAAGCACTGAGCACACCCTGTGGCCATATTCTTTGCAGTCTGAGGTACAATAGCAAAACTAGAACAAATTTATTTTTCCTTTTTCACAGTTTCACTGACAGAGGATTTGTTCTTACCATAGGTCTTAGTAATCTCAGCATATGAAGTTTTTTTCCTTAGCAAACTGAGAAGTTACAATTTTGCACTAAATGGAAGAACTTTGTGGTTTCTCCTTGGTTTATCTGAATTGCCAGCATCATTACTCTTGTCTCTGGGGCCATTAATAAGTAAAATAAGGATTGGTTGAATAGAAGCACTGTGACAAAACAGTTGATACCACAGTCCACAGTCAATCTGATCATGCAAATGGTTTCTAAGTGACTACGGGCAGGTGGTATATACAGCATGGATCTGCTGTAAAAAGGAATGATTCTGATCCCAGGTGAGATGCACTGGGTAGCTGTGAGATGGCTCACACTACTTAGAACAATATGCATTTAAAACTCATGACCTGTTTATTTCTGGAATTTTCCATTTAATATGTTTCAGACTGATGCTGACCACAGGTAATAAGTAAAATTGAGGAAAGCAAAACATCAGATAAGGAGGGGACTACTGTACTGACATTCTGGCGGCTCATCAGTCACTTAAATTTAGTGAGTGTGTGTGTGTAGTTCCCAGATCTCGTGAATGCAGAGGGAAATGCCAAAAATCAAAGCTAAACATCCACAAGCTGAAGACAAGCACTTGGCACAAACCCTCTATGAGGTGCGGCTCTCCCCCAGTAGCCAGTTGGTGTCTCTCACTTAACAATGCATCTTCTCTATGCAAATACAAGTTGTCTGTGCCTGAATTTATACACAAGGTAGATATGAATAGCCTGCTTTGTAAAAGGGCTCTGGTATTCTACATCAACAGGCCAGTGAGTCCTCTGAATCAATAACAAGTCTTTGAATGAGGCTATATTCACATGACCTGATACCAGAGTTGCTATGGTTAACAGAAATTAAAAATATTCACTACTCTAAAATAGGGTCAAGTCCCTGTCGGATAAGATCGAAGTCGGCGAACTCAAAAGGCTTCCATAGCCTTGGCAACTCATGACTAGAGCCTAGGGAGATTACTGACGCCATAAACAAGAGTGTCACATTGTTAAGTCAACAACAGGAGTCACTGTGTACTTACTCCTCATGTGGGATCTGTCCTTAATGTGTTGTCCAATGTGAAGTAATGCTATAACTAGTACTGAAACAGTATTTTACACTTTGTGTTTCTGTGTGTGTGCGCAAACTGATGAAATCTTTACTTAATATATACTAAATCGATCTTCTGTATATAAAGATAATTGAAAATGAATCTTGATGTGAATGGAATGGGAGAGGGAGCAGGAGATGGGAGGGGTGCGAGGGGGAGGGAAATTGGGGGGGGGGGAAGCCATTGTAATCCATAAACTGTACTTTGGAAATTTATATTTACTAAATTAAAAAAAAAGAAAAAAAAAAGAAAAAAAATGGAGCTATCTTAGGACATCCTCTGATACAAAGAGAAGAAGAACCTGATACAAATATGCATATATATGTATATATAAATTTCAAATAAATATTTGCTTAAACCACAAAAAAAAAAAAAAAAAGGGTCAAGTGCCCAAAAGAGGTTTAGAGAAGAAAGGAAAAGGGAAGAATAAAGTGGAGGTCAGTGTTAGGAGTTAGCAACATTTTCAATTGACTAGAAGTTAACAATGAGAATAACACTTTTTTTCTCCAATTGTTGAGGAAGATATTCATAAGCTACCAAGAATAGTTTTAATGGCATAAGTTTCTCTGAAAATGGAGGACCTGGTGGTTCTTCCACATTTATCCTTTAGGTGCCATGCAACTGTGGCAGATGATTTGGGAAAACTCAAGGATGTACTCACCCTGAATCCCCTGAAGTTGTTTTCAAAAAATAAGATCCTAGTAGAAGACTGCATTTTTGTCAATTGTGCAAGTAGAACTGCATGTAAAAATAAAAACTAAAAAAAAAAAGAACGCCACAAACAGACACTGCTGTACCTCTCATGCAGTTTTCTGTGGCTGTACTTGAACTAGTCTAAGCCGTACTTGAACTAGCTGCTTTTCAGTTTTCAATGTTCAGTCAGATACAGAACTTTTGATTTCAAGCAAACAGACTCCTCAAAAAAAACCAAGTCCTATTTAAAACCCCGTAGGTACCTTTAAGGAATGAGCCAGCTCTTTGCGGTTGATGTGTAGACTCTTCCAAACACCAAAAGGCTTGTTAGTCCCTGAATCTTAATTTAGGTTAATTTGACTAGGGCCCACAGCGTCTTACATGAAAACATGACTGCGTTTTCTTCTAAGTAGAACCTTTGCTTAAATCTTCATAATGCCAATGACAGTGTGGCTTTGGGCAAACCACTAACTGTCATGTCCATTTCCTCACTGCACAATGGAGATACTCACTGTGGTTTCTGGGGATGGGCTGATTAACATTTTCTATAGAGTTAATTTATTTTTGGAAGTGTTCTCATCATTATAAGTGCTCCGTATACTAAGTAATAAAATTTAAGGTTCAATGCATTTCAGAGGCAAATACATAGCCTTCAAAGAAGTAATTACAGAGTCTAAAAGGTCTAAAAACAACTCCTTGTTCCAAAAGCCAATATTTATACTTTTTAAAGCCACAAATAAAGGGCGGAGGGAGGTAGAAGGAAAAACACAAATATGCAATAAGATTTGTCTTCAACTAAAACTGACTGGGAGTTAAATTTCAGGTTTGCAAATCAGATTTCATCTTTTCCTCTTACTTATCTAGATTTCCCTACAATGAAAACATGGAGTCCAACTCCACAGCTCGCCTCAGTCAGCAGTGTTCTTCAGCACAGCCCCTCTCATTCTGGAGCTGATGAACCAAACATGGAGTAGACAAAGGCTCCCTTGAGTGAAGCCACACTTCCACCCCAGCACTGTCACAGAACCCGAGAGGAGAGAGAAGATGAGCCTGAACTGGCTCTTGAATTTGTTTCTCCGTGTCCCCATTCCACCACTGGCATGGAAGGGAAAAGAAAAACCCATTGGAGTATCTCAAGAGTATTTATTCAGTCTGTACTTGCTGTACTGATAACTGTAAGCGATTTTAAGACAAGAAGAGGTCACCATCAAGAAAATGAAACAACAACAAGGAAACACATTAGCTGGGCTCTTGAAAGTGTACTTTGTTCAGAAAAAAAAACTAGATAAAATAACTATAGAGAAAAGTAGTAAGCTAATTAATCAAACTGAGACAATTATCTCTTGGGTGAGGGAAGGGAATGTGCACAGAAGGGAATTTAAAGGTCTATTTCCTAAGATGATGGTGGTGAAATGGCTCTCCTTTTTATGTTATTACTTTATTTGATATTTGTTTTATTATTCCTTTTGAAACTATACATGTAACACACACAAAGGGACTTCAGAAATGTCATGAAAAATGGAATTTTGGTACAGGATTTTTTTTTTTTAATCCATGCGTAGTTTTTTTTCATAATACGCACTTCCCATGAAATTTTTTGTTTTTAAAAATTTATTTCATTTATTTGAAAGACAGATTTACAGAGAGAAGCAGAGCCAGAGAGAGAGAGAGAGAGAGATCTTCCATCTGCTGGTTCACTCCACAAATGACCACAATGGTCACCAACTGAGCTGATCCGAAGCCAGGAGCCAGGAGTATCTTCCAGGACTCGCACGAAGGTAAGGAGGCCCAAGAACTTGGGTCATCTTCTACTGCTTTCCCAGGCCATAGCAGAGAGCTGGATCAAAAATGGAGCAGCTGGGACTTGAACCGGCACCCTTACGGGATGCTGGCGCTGGAGGCCGGGGCTTTACCCACTATGCCACAGCACCGACCCCTACCCATGAAATTTTAAAGCACATATATATATACATGGCTGTGGACATGTACTTCATAAACAAATACCTTTTAGTGTTGACTTTTACTGGTA